AAATGTAGATTTGCATTGTGTTGTTAACTTTCACCGGAAGTACTGCACGTTAACGCTCGGTATGGTCTAAAAAAAAAGTCATATTGAGCGTTTCAAAATTTCTTACACTTTTTCTATTATATCGTTTTACTTGTAAATATTTTGTTAAAACATATAGAACAAAAATTGTGAAGAATTCTGAGATCTTTCAAATGATATCTCGAAAAAAGGGCTGACCCCTAAAATTAGGGATCTAGAGGGGCCAAAAGTTTTTACTTGATATCTCGAAAAGTATCGAGAATTTGTAATACTTCAAAGAAGCAAGGTTGTTCAAAATGACAAGCTTAATCTATCTGAGTCGTCAAAATACGTCCGGGGTCGTCACTTCCGGCCAAACTGGAAGTAGTCAAAAACGCGTATTTTTGCGGTTCTTGTCAAGTTTTTTTGATAACATATGTCTTTAGAGCATAAAAATTAAATTTCCGTCCGTCGTCGTCACTTCCGGCTAAACCGGAAGTAGCAAAATTTGCTTATTTTTGCATTAATTAACAAAGCTTTAGAGGATTCAAACCATTTTTAGGCGTTATTTCTCATTTTTGTTGAAAATGAAAGCTATTTCCGGTCAAACAGGACGGAAGACCTACTCGTTGCTTTGCAACGAGCTTTGCTCTAGTTATTCTTTTTTTTCTTCTGCTTCCTAGACCGCAACTTTGAGGCCTTATATCTCGCTCATTTCTCAACGGATTTCGCTCAAATTTTCAGACGTTATAGACGTTAATAAACTCTATCAGAACAATGTCTAAAATTTCAGAAAGCCACTTCCGGTTTTGAGTTATTTCCCTTTAAAGGAAAATTTATAGGCTTTCGTTTCCAGACAAAGGCTCAGAGACGGCTAAAGCTGGAGCAGAAATTCTACTGATTTTAGATAATAGAGGGATTGAAGTTGTGCACATCGATTTTTGTTTTTCGATTTCTCTATTCAAAATGGCGCTATATAGGGGTCAAAAATTAGAACGCTTAAAAGAACCAAAAATTACTCATACTTTCATTTTTATCTTCTAAACTTAAAATATTTTGTTAAAATATATAGAACATAATTTGTGCAGAATTAGAAGATCTTTCAAATGAGATGTCGAAAAAAAGGCTGGCCCCTAATTTAAGGGACTTAGAAGGGCCAAAAGTTTTTTCCAGATATCTCAAAAAGTATTGAGAATTTGTTATACATCAAAGAAGCAAAGTTGTTCAAAATATCAAGCTTTATCTAATGAAGTCATCAAAATACGTCCGGCGACGTCACTTCTGGTCGAACCGGAAGTAGTCAGAAGATGCATATTTTTGCCGTTTTTGACAGGTTTTTGGGTAACATGTGTCACTAGAAGCTTAAATATTAATTTTCCGTCCGTCGCCGTCACTTCCGGTCAAACCGGAAGTTCCAAAGAACGGCTTAATTTTGCAATACTTAACATAGATTTGGAGGATTAACCCATTTTTGGATTTCATTACTCTTTTTTTTTTAAATGAAAGTTACTTCCGGTCAAACAGGATGGAAGACCTACTCGTTGCTTTGCAACGAGCTTGGCTCTAGTTTCTATAACTCTTTCTCTTGGAAAGATCTTTATTAATGAAAGGAAAAAGATACCATCGAATACTCTGAACGGGAAACAAAGAGCACGGAGCCTTGTTTACGGTTAATACGGATCTAGCTTTCTTTCCTACCATACGTAAGACTCGGACAAAATAATATTTTCATGGGACAGAGATAGTATAAGAAGGAACAATTTTATCAAGAAGTAATTTAACCATTCTGCGGTGGGTTTTTTTTTGTGCATGACTGTGGGTCGCTGGATCACACGCCGATTGATTCCCGGTGACAGACTTTGCCCCGCCGCTATCGAGGGAGGCGCGTTATATAATTGTAAACAAACAAGGTGAATGTTAAAGCCGTGCACTTAATGGATGTGAATAGTATTTGTGCTTTTTAGTTATGTTTTATTTTCTCACTATATTGTTTGCTTTTATGTGATAAGAAGAAAAGATGATATTTTCTTCCCTTTTTAGTAGACTTCGTTCATACGATTTTTAAAAAAATGAAATAAAAGGGAAAGTTGTCGGTGAATAAACATGATAATTTGTAAGAAAAAAAGCACAAACACTTCGAGAACTTTATTCTGAAGAATATTAGCTTCCAATGTAGCCATGTTTATTATTTATAGTAAGCTTGCTTTGGTAACACGCATGAGGAGCTCTCGTTTACGTGCTGAGTGAAAATAATTATCTGTGCATATATAGGTCATGCACCAGCTCATTTAAAACAAGACTCGAACACAATTACAATTTCATGAGATCAGTAAGATGTAAAAGCACAACTTTATAATCGATAGTCATTTCGAAATATTTACCGTTTTTGAGTTTTAAAGCAAAAACTTTTAAGGTCCCTTGATCCCTAATTATAGGGGCCAGTCCCTTTTGAATATTATTATATGAAAGCCCTTGCAATTATGCACAACTTTTGTTCACTATGTCTTAACAAAATATTTTTAGTTTTCAAGATAAAAAGGAAAATATGTGTAAATTTTCGCTCTTTTAGGCGTTCTAATTTTTGACCCCTATATAGCGCCATTGTGAATTCAGAAATCGAAAAACAAAAACCGATGTGCACAACTTCAATCCTTCTGTTACCTAAAATCAGTAAAAATTCTGCTGCAGCTTTTGTGGTCTCAGCCTTTATCCGGAAACGAAAGCCTATAAATTTTCGTTGAAAGGGAAATATCTCAAAACCGGAAGTGACTTTTTGAAGTTTTAGTCAACATTCTGGTAGAGTTTATAAACGTCTATAACCTCTGAAAATTTGAGCAAAATCCGTTGAGAAATGAGTGAGATATGAGGCCTCAAAGTTGCGGTCTAGGAAGTAGAAGAAAAAAAAGAATAATAATCTTTACCATCAGAATCAGTAGAAGGTCTTCCGTTGGAAACGGAAGACCTTAAAAACCAACGACCACGTAAGTAACTTATGAATGCAAAACAAACAATCATCTTTACAAAAGAAACGTATATAAAATACGAATATGTTGAAATGGGAAAATAAGGTTAATATTACACTAAGCTTACACTGGTTAATATAACACTTGATTTTTGACATAGCATGTTCAGAATATGATAAAGAATTGGGAAAGTTGATTTTTTTTTTTCGAAAACAATCATCAATCATTACATTTTGACAATTTAAAAAAATTCACAATATTTATGAATATTACATATTAACAGACTGCTGACCGTTAACTTGTAATGTCCATCTGATAATAGAGATAATTTTCCGATAGCATTTCAGAATTGCCTTGGAATTCAAAGGATTGTCTTTGTCAGAATTTACAGAGTTTATAAATGACGACCATTTTGTACTCAACTCTAATGAGGCCATTCCAATTTTTCTACGTTTATCATCCGTGTGCGCCTTGGTTTTTGACACCCCTTGTCAAAAAAAACCAAACAGATCTAGAATCAGGAGTCCGAAAAGTAATTATTCAGGCCAAAATTTGTGATTTGCGGCAATATCTCTAAATATTTGTTAAATATTTCACCAGTGGAAAAGTTTTCTTATTTAATACCTTGATTTTGCTGAAGAATAGCTTTCTTTAAGAAAAATAGATTAATGAAATTATGTCTTTTGTCTTTCTTAATTCTTTTTACTATAAAATATGTGTTTCATTTTTTTTTATTTGTGTGTTCTTTGCAAATAGGTAGCTAGATTTTTGAAAGATTGGTGGACGCTAAACAGAGAAAAAACTTGGAATGGGCTACATTTGTTGTAGTGTACATACATATTCATTTCTAGTTTCTATTGCAAATAGTTTCATCAAGGTTTCGTCAAAGGTCAACATTTTCAAAAAATTATTTTTAAAATAGCCCCAAAACTATGTGAGGTATAAAGTTAAAACTTTTACAGTTTATAATTTTTTTCATTGATGAACGGATAGAAAGTATCACCTGATAAAAAAAAATACTTGGAAAAAATATTGAGAAAAATTCTTCTTAAAAATGCATATATTTTTAAAAAATACACCCAATTAATTCCGTGCTCTCAGTGAAACCATCATTGCAGAAATAAAGTATGTTTGTCAATGAAGGGCAAGTTGGACTTGGATAGCCTCTGAAAAGTTGTTTTCCCTGTTTATTTTGTCCAAATGTTTAGACTTGAAATTGAAAGTACATTGCAAATGGCGGATTCTATAGGCGTCTTGTCTCTTTACATGTCATGCTTTCAATAACAGCCTTTCAGAGACCATTCATGTCCAACCTGCCCTTCAATGATAAACATATATTATTTCTGCAATGATGGTTTTCATAAAAAAAAAGACAGAATTAAGCACGTGCATTTATTCAAAATATGCACATTTTATGATACAATTTTTCTTAAAAAAACTTTTTAAAAATATTTGTTGTCAAGTGATACTTTCTATCTATTAATCAATGACGTAATTTATAAACTGTAAACGTTTTGACTTTATACCACACATAGTTTTGGAGCTATTGTAAAAATAATTTTTTAGACATGTTGACCTTTGACGAAACCTTAATTATTTATAACAGTTTACCAAAAACATTTACATGTATACTCCGTTCCTTCAAACTGTATAAATTGATATATTTATATCTATAAACGTTTATCCTTAAATTGTTACAGAAATTTCAGATGCAGAATTGTTTATAATCATTTAATTAATATTTTGTTTCACTAACAAAATTCAATGGGTGGTAATGGAAAGATAACTCTTGTTGTTAGACACATATTTTACAAGCACAGAAAACATTTTAATATTCTGATTTAAAAAGCAACGCTTCAATTTGTTTTCTAATGAAAATTAGATAGGTTTGATAGTAAATATTATTTTCATAGATCCCTTATTAATTGTGAGTTAAAAAATTATAGATCTTGATCTTTCTTATTACCATATCAAATGTTCTCACTTCATGATTAGACATAATATTCATTTCGAAAAGTAATTAAACAACTTCAAACTATTTTCCATTTGAATTTAATGCCAGTTTTGATCATGAAAATCAATGTTTGGAATTAAAAAAAAAACACAATGGTGAAAATTGGAGCAGAGGGATAATTCACCTTAATTCAAGAATAAAGTTTACAGAATTTCTCCAGATGAGAAACCTCACTTGACTTCCTTCCTTTGGACGATATTGCTTTCAGTTATTACCTTTCGGAAAAAAGCAAGCTCCCGAAATATCTCAGCGTCGATCGCGAGTGTAAGATATATATAAGCATAAAACAAAAGTTTACGTATCCTTTGAATGACACTCCTATGTGCATGTTTCAGATGTAAGTATTTTGGGGGGTATCTCATCTTTACAGTTAATCTCAATAGTTGGTTTGGCTACCGATTCTACTTTCTTAAGATATTCAAACCATGGCTCGTCATTAATTTCAAGAACTGGTTCCATTTCTGACGCTTCCTTAACACCTTTCGATAATGATGCAAAGGGTGTTTTTTTTGTGTGTTTTATCCAACCAAGCAGATCTTTTCTTGATGAAAACTTCAGCATTTCCGAGAAATAAAACTTACCAAAAGTTATGAGTGACATTCTTTTTATTATTTCATGCTGTAACACATAGACTGATGAGTTTTCTTTCAATACGAATTCTTCTGGAGGTAAAAGCGACTTGAAATCAATATTATTGAGACCACATGATTCATATATTTTTCTCAGCCTTTGATCCGATTTGCTTATATCTATTTTCATGTCATTAAAGCTCATATACACCAGTAACAGAAATTGTTCTTTCTTGTTTGAATCAAGACACATTTTTTCTAAATGTGAGGCTAAATAACGTAGCGGTCGACCAAAGAATACAGCACCATGTTTCTGAAATTCGCTACATTTAAAAAATAGTGTGCATATCTCTGGGAATCCAACATACTGATCTATAAATCCCGAGACAACCTTTTCAACGGTAGAGAAAGGTGTATCTCGTTTGTAAGTTTCGAAAATAGTGTGAAGGATCTGAATCCGTTCTCCCTTTGACATATCCTTCCAATTCAAACCAAAAGAGTGTAATTCATTTTTTGTAAATGAACAATTGTTCATTTTCTTTGCAATATTTTCCCAAGCCTCGTCAGTTGAAGTTATAATCAGAAATGTTTTTATTTCATTTGTTCTCTGTGTCTGTTTGCACAAGGAGATTAACTTTATAAGAATCTCACTTCTTTCCACGTCAGGAATGTCATCATTTGGTAACGGTTCCTCTACGATGACAGAGTCCTGACAAGTACTTACATCAAAATTCAATATGTCCTCTATAACAACCGGTTCCCTTCCAGTAAAGGACTTATAAACTTGTTTAGCTGTTGCCGATTTCCCCGAACCCCATTTTCCTATGAAACATAGAATTTTCCCATCGTTTTTGAGAAATTTACATGCCTCATGGAAAGTAGATGTTTTGTAGAATGGTGTCTCTAGACAGAAATGATAATTGTTAGAATATAATTATTTGGACATTGTACGGTTTGTCTCCATTAAATTTCATAATTCATATTATACTTTTTCTGTACTTAAATACTTAAATTATACCTCTGGATAATAAAGGAATCTGTTCATCGTTTCCCCTTGGAGTTTCCTCTAAAATGAAAATTGTAGATTATTTTAATCAAACTTCGTAAATCGAATATGCCTGTTTTGTTCAATGTTTTAACATTTACTCTAGATATATAATTCCTTTTGTAAAAGAAACATAACTGTTTCATTATAAAAGAAAAATATAATAAAGAGGGTAACTTTTTCATTGTAAAAGAAAAATATAACAAAGAGGGAAACTTTTTTCAAAGTTCGTAAAATATTAGAAATACAAATGTAATGGCGGTACAATTAGTAAGAAAAATGTCTCGTAGCATTTGCCTTAATAATAGATTGTATTTACTAGTAAGGTCGTTACATCGACCAAAGACCTTGCAAAACTATAACTGCAAACGAGACTGTTTTTATTCTTTTTTCATTAATATGTTTGTCAGTAAATTGCCTCGTTTAAGAAATCAATCGTACATAGAGTGTATCGCATCAATTGACATATGTAAACTACGTATGCAGGTGATGATGGTATATTGCTGCATGAATAAGGGAAGTTGACGATTGAAAAGTTAGTGTCATCATGTTTATTATAAAGTTTTGTTCTTATGTAGCCATTAAAGTCTTTCTTTTTGAAATAAAATTTTCAAATATGAACCATATATGTTAAGGTCATTGGCAACGCAGGATTTCCGGAGAAAAAAGGTTTATACATAGGTTTTCTCACTTATGAAAAAAAGTCATTGAGAGTGATCTCCGTATGGAATTCTCCAGGCGCTGAAAACAAATAAAGCATATGTTACAGACTGAGAAGTAAACAAAAGCACGTGTGTTTTTTTATCGGATATAGTAATAATAGAAAAGCATTGATGGGCTTGTTTAGATTGTGCTGAGGGGGCAGACAGTCAACAGGCCGTCATTTAGATTAGGTACATGAATGCTGGGAAGTGCAAAGATGTGAAATAATTTTGCTGAAAGTGGTGATAGCCAAGTAGACCGAATGAGAACGATTCTATAGGTTATGTGAATGAGACACCATTAAAAGTTACTATAAATCCTTGCTAAAATGTTTAATGACAGTTTGCTGCCAGTAAAGTAAATTATAGAATAGAAACAAACAACCAGTCTCTTGATCATAATGAATATTGATAAGATGTGAAAGGAAGTAACTCAAAACTAAAGAACATTGCTGGTATTTCTGTGCTTTGTTTCAAAATTTTCATTTTCAGCCAAAGTATATGCATGTCATCGGAAATAAGGTTTCAACAATGTATTTTATGTATAAACCTTATGAAATAAATGGGTTTTGGAGAAAACGTATGGTTGAAAATAATATAGGACTATTTTATCAACATTTTACATAGGAAATGCATTCAAAATTGTAAAAACATTGATTTGACAAAATCTCAAGAGGAAGGCTGGCTTGATGGGTAAAAAGGACCTGAATTGAATATGTTTGGTACCATTTAACCTGTTCAAAAAATCTTGAAAAATCCTATACGAAAACCAGAAACGTTGCCAATGTCCTTAAGAGACATTCTCTGTAATGACTTGAAATTTTATATAGGAGCTGTGGAACGCATAGTCTCAGAATTTCTCCAAACTCTCTATGATGAAAGTTATTGATACCCTAAACTGAAATCAGGCAAAAATTGGTTGCTATGTTTTATAGCTACCATGGCAACATGTCTTAAAGTTCGAAAAATGGCATTTTTTAAACATGTTTAGAGCCCCATAGTTAACATTTGCGGCAAAGCAAACAATTGGCAATGACTGTTTCCAAAAGATGTCTCAAATGCATGATAAACATCTTTGGTAAATCAAATATTACATACGTTAGTATGGTAACAAAGTATTCAAAAGTTAAAAAAATATATATTGAATTTTATAAAGTCATACACGTAAAAATAAAAAGCAATTATAGGATGAAATGTGACCAAATAATAGAAAAAAGAGCTTTGAAACATATATCAAGAATAAAATGTGATATTTCATTTTGGTTGGCAATGGTTGCCAAGGTGTTTATACCACAGAGAGCCTTCAAAGTAACACTCTGTATGTTTAAATCTGATCCCATCTTTTAAAAAAGCACATTTCCTCATAACTAATGATCAATTTTTAAAGATGTTGGTGTGCTCCTAGTTTTCCCATTTGAAAAAATTCAGATTAGATTCTTTAAATACAGCGTTGCTATGGAAATTAGCAGAAAATATATGCTTAAAAACCTAAAAAATATATTTTTTCCTTGGATACGTACCCTTAAATGTAGATTCCCAAAACTTTCATGATTGATATTTATTAACGGCTAACCTGACTTTTAATTTTGACTATCATCCAATCTCTAAGTGGATGCAAGAAGTTGGCACACAGGATTTAATATTGATATAAAGTTCACAAAATCTAACATTTTCCCTTCTTGGTAACCATAGCAACAGTGTTGTTTTCTTCATCAAATTTTATCAATATATGATATTCAACTTCAGTTCTAACAGATAAGTACTGTTCAAGCTAAGTCCTTTAATTTGTTTCTTGATTATATGGCAATTAAATATTTAATGCAGCGAAAAATAATTCACTTTTAAGCACTGGTACTTTGTTTCCATGGTAACACTGCAAAGTAGCAATTATACCCAATTTTTCTTATGGTTTTGGTGTTGCAAGGTGGTAAGGATGCATATTTGCCAGTGTTGAATTTTCATGTTTTTCCTCAAGATAGTAACATAAACCCAATCTTAGCTACTGGTTTTGCATGGTTACACTGTGTTACCATGGCAACCATAAAAGTTATTTATAGAATAGTATTGAATATACTTATGTACTTAAGCTCAAACATTTTCTTTGTTTTTCTTAAGTCGTTGATTGAGTTTGAGCATGTAACACCTTCCATTAGTGAATACGAAGTGTTTTTCAGCATATTTCAGCATTTTAAATGTATTCCAAATGTAACCTTAGTTACCACTTACTTAGAGATATATTCTAAACAGTTTCTTTACAGTATAAGTGACACCAAGGTGACATGTTTTTGTGAGAATGGTTCGTTTGCTTTTTCTAGTTTTTACTAAGCCACAGTCAAGATTTAAAGTGGCTGAAAATCTTGATTTTTCAAACTTTTACGGTTGTTGCCATAGCAACCGAGACACTTAGCAACGAAATTTCGTTTAAAATTTGTTTATGGTGTCAAGTACTAAGCATGGGTGAAGTTTCATCAAAATCGGTGACCATGCGTGGCAACGAAGTTTAAGTGGTTACAGAGAATGGCTAATTTAAAATTCTGAGAAAACCTTTATCCTAAACTCTCTGAGATATACCATGTCCACCTTTTGAATGGAACTATCTATTGTTTATAGATACTGTAATATATCGTCATTATATAGGATGAATTCACCATGCATCGGATATGGCACGCCGATTGGTTCAAAAGTATTTTCTGCACAACGATCAAGATTTTATACACGAGCTAGATGAAAAAAATACACGAGTAAAATAAAAATGCACATATAGGTAAAAATTGCAGATTTTAACACAAACAAAATGAAAAATACACGAATCCGACATTTTTTGCACGATTTAGGGGTATAATATACACAAACAAAAATCAAAAATTGCACGAGCAGAGGAAACTAAAAATTACACAAACAATTTTACTGCGCATACAGCTGCACATATCATTATTATGCACCACAGGCACTTGTTTCTGTAATAAATTTTTGACACATAGTATAATAATAACACAAGGTATCTAACTCCAAATTACACGGAGTACCCCCCTCCCTTAGAATCGCGATCATTTACACTTTCAGAGAAAAGGCAGTGGCAAACTGTTTACACCTATGTCATCTACGATAATTTATTTACACAACCATATATGGCTTGCTTTTCTTTGTTTTCTTCGCCGAGTAGAAAAGTCCAACTATACCATAGAACGGTATGTGCTAATGTCGGGCAAAGAGAAAAATTAAAGAATGTGTGGGTTTAAAAATCCAATTCCAGACTTTAAATATTGCATTGAATAAATAAAATTTCATAGTGTCTTATTTTCCATAAAGACACTACGATGTTTTTCCGGTGTAATTTTAGAAACAGATTTTTAGCCAATCACATTCGAGGTCTAATTCTTTGCCCGAGACTAGAACATACAATTCTATGGTACAGTTTTACTTTCCACTCGGCGAGCAGAGTTTTGACGCTGATTACGGAGATAAAAGAAAATAAAAACAAGCATGCCAGATATGGTTGTGTAGATAAATTATCGTAGAAGACATAGGTATAAACAGATTACACGTGCATTTCCTCTGAAAGTGTAAATGAGCGCGATTCTAAGGGAGGGGGTACTCGGTGTAAATCGGAGTTAGACACCTTGTGTTATTATTATACTATGGATCAAAAATTTATTACAGAAACAAGTGCCTGTGTGTACTTCTGAAAGACTGAATCTTTTTTAAAAGATTAATATTATAGGATTAAACGTTCTTTTTGAAAAATTTATCGATGTGTAAACTCTTGACATTTTACTCACAAACTAAATAAAAGTGCGAAGCACTTTTATGTTAAGTTTGTGAGTAAAATGTCAAGAGTTTACACATCGATAAATTTTTCAAAAAGAACGTTTAATTCTTATAATTCCAATATCGAATTTTTAAAAATATTTAAATTATTTCTCTTTGAGGCCTCCATACAATCCGTTATTTCTGGACGGCGTAGGAATACATTTTACCGTAAAGGAACGTAATCGAGATGAATTTCGATAGAGTTGAACTTAGATTGTCAAAACAATCGATAAATAAACTTATAACAACTAATCGAATGTTGTTTAAGTCAACAAATATCGTAATTACGAGTTTACTTCAGAATAGTTCGTCTTTGACCATGGCCATGTTGACATAAACAACAACTCTCATAGCGAAAATTGCAGACCGACGACGCCTTCAATTTGCACTTGTTTATTCAAATATTGAGGAACAATATAGAAAGTAAATATGAATTTGATGCTAATAGGGCAAGAGTTTGAGGTACGTTTCTTTTCCCTGTCAAAACGATACAGACTGAGCTTATTTTCTACGTATGAACGTTGAGACAACGATTTTTAAAATTCACACTCGTGATCGGACAGTGACATAAACGTTTTCACGGCGTCCATCAGTTAGGCAGTCTAGTGTGTTGCCAGTTTTGCTTAAGCCCTAATTAAATTTAAAGTTTCTTGTATTCATTATTTAGCCAGAACAGACCCAGAAATAACTGCTTTCATTGTTTATACGATAACCTAGTAGTGTCATCAAGAAAGTAGTTCTGATTGAAAGAATTTATCGATGTGTAAAAATTTTCTGGAACGTGTTCTCGTCCAATCAAAACACAGGAAATCAATAGATAAAATGAAGATTGGAATTATATTATGTTAACACATTACTCATCCTCTTGTTTTATAACGCTTCAAGCATCCAAGCCACACTGATCTGTTCTCTAATGAATATTAATGAAATGTGTGCAAAGAGGATGCGTCGTTTATTATGTCGATGTTGTATTCTCACTTGTGCAGTTTTCGTTTTTACGTTTGTGTAATTTTTCTCGTTATGTCGTGTAAATATTTTGTTGATTGTGTTGTTTTTGTAAAGTTTGTGTAAATTTCAATAACTTTGTGTGTATTTTCCGCACTTTGTGTAATTTTTGACTCACTCGTGTAATTTTTGTTTAAGGTCGTGCAGAAAATACTTTTGAACCAATCGGCGTGCCATAATCGGATACCCTTGTACTTCAACAAGTTCTAGCGATATCGCTACCGACGGAAAATTATCAAAATGGAGTTTAACATTTAGTTTGTGATTAAAATATCAATTTGGGACAAATTATATGCCCTTTATCGAGAAAATATCCTCAAAAATCGAGTTTTTAGGAATAACTCAAAATTCACCATGGATCAGACATTGTTTACCATGCATCGGACAGACGGTATTGTGACCGGGAAAATATCATACCTTTATCAAAGTGCTTTAAAATGCTTGATATGGTTATATTTTTTTTATCTTTTATCTAAGACAAAAACCCCACAACTGAAATTTAATTGACGATATCGTTGCACAAATGTAGAAAGATTCAAGAGACCTCACTCTGCCTTAGAAATGCTTTAAAATGCTAATAATGCGGTAATTCGCGCCTTTTATTCATGGTTTATCATACTTTGGTTTGTAGAAACAAATTGAGTCAAATTCCAGACGTCATATATCGATAACTTGTATTTTGACTGAAAATATAGAGTTTTAATTTTCTTTTTCCGCAAAAAAAAAAAAAAAAAAAAAAAACCAGCTATCAGCTGGGTTCTGTATGAAAATGGTAGTGCTTACCTTTGCATCGGTAAGTGTCCGATGCATGGTTAATTTGTGTTAGATGTACGGAGAAATGAACATACTGTTGAAAACCAACTCTAAAAAGAATTGTACGAAAATTCAAGTGAAATTTCTTTAAAATCTATGTAAAATTACCAATCTTTGACTTTATTCACCAAAGTCTGACTCGTTTTGTTGAAGTCAAATTTTAAGAAAGATAACTCTAAAAATCGCAAAATCATAAATTTCTGGTTATTCCCCTTTGATGATGTAAAATATGACGTAACTTCAAGGCCATCCTCGGGGTATTTTATTCACAACATGATGATAATAATCGGTATCATTAAGAAAAATCTTCAGCTTTAAGACAGAAACAAATAAATACGCGGAACTCTTAAGTTGAAAGAGAATTTATTGTCTAAAGTTGTCCGAAGCAAGGTATGTGTCCGATGAATGGTGAATTCACCTTATAGATGTCGAGTTGAAGGACAAAAGTGTAACAGTTTTCTTTTTTGTATAGTATTTAAAATATATATATTCTGCTTTATAAGAACACAAAGACGAGTCTGCTATTATACAGGTCGCAATTGGTATCAATGGACATTGTCACAGATTAAGTACTAGTATATCAAAAACCCTTTTTTCATGTCTTCATCTATACAAATACTTCTCACTTGATCTTCTCTTTCTGTAACACACAACAGCTACTACACTGATGAAAACAAGGAGGACAAGTACTCCAACTGACACGCCTATATATAGCCACGGTAGAGATGAGGGGTCGCCATCATACACAACAGAACTTCAAACAAAAAACATTTCAAATCATTGTCATTTCATATTCTAAATTTATTATCTTGACATATATACATACTAAGCGACAAAAATAATTCTCCTAAAATATTTTTTTTATAAAGCAAGCATTTGAAATGCACATTAGTTTTGCAATTATTTCTTTCTTTTCAATTTCGATTCTGTGAAGAATGAATATCATTCGAATGTTTGTGAATTCTCTCGTTCAAAATCATCATTTAGAGTTCAAATTCAATAGCGGATAAAATAATCCTGTCAGCAAATACATTTTTTTCATTAAATCAAATGCTGACTGAATTTTTTCAAACTGATTGTTAGGGCATTATTTATCTACTGAGTTGTCCACAATTTTTTTTCGTTTCTTCCCGAACATGACAAGAAGCACACTGCTTGGGTGATCGATACACAGGGGATGCTTACTCCTCCTGATCCCACCTTTGATGTTTTGGAGGTCCGTGTTTGTTTTGTTCCTATTTTTTGCTGTTTAATAAACTTTTGAGATCGAATACTGTTCGTTATGCCATTTACAAAGGTTACAGAAAATTTTCAGCTCACTTCATGGCTGACGAACGAATTTTCATGCAAATTAATATATAACTACCACAAGCATGGCTTTCCAGAAAGCTTTAAATTTGAACCCTTTTGTTATAACACCCCCCTCGCTTGAAAAGTGGGAAGGTATACTGTAATCAGTATGTCCGTCCGTCTGTTACGCTTTAGGGTACCCATCTCTTATCCGACACTCCTCTTATACCACAGAGTGAAATTTAATGAAACTTTCACAGAATCTTTATTACACAGTGCCATTGTGCAGCTTCTATTCTACTTTTTGATCCGACACATAATTTGGGTTTCCCGGCCACAGCAAAACATTTAGTGAGCTCATTGCTCACAGTACCTCTAGTTTTAAAAGATATATACATGCTGTATAACCATGCTTGTGGTAGCTATAAATCAAAGATGCAGCCCGTTCAGTGCTGTTTGTATACTTAAAAAACCGGGGTTCATAACTTAGCGGCTTTGTCGCAGAAAACAATGGGACATTCATGAATAGCGCTAAGAAATCATATGTTAATTTTGTACAATATATACGTGTAACACATACGTGTAGCGCTAATTCATGATTACGTCAACAATTCCATTTCTATTGGTTGTGCTAATCTTTGAGTACACCAATTCATGTACAGGTAAAGTAATTTATCTTGGTGAAAAATTCACTTTTCAAAATTTCAATAAGAAATTTACGTGGGCAGTCTATTAACAGTTACTAGCATTTAAGTTTTAAGGTGAATACATAAGCCAGAAAGATATTGAATGATAAAAGTACTTGTCTATACATGAAAGTTAAGTTGTCTGCCTTAATAATTTTTTTTTTAAAAGTGAAAGACAAAAAATGGTAGTAAATCGTGCACCATCGTTTCCGAGACCAGTCTCTCTGACTGTGTTAATGTTTGCTCCATTTATTTTTCCAAACTTTTCTTCTAGAGACTACCAGATTTTGGGCTGATATTAAGTTTATCAGTAGTATATAATAATGAGTACAGATAAAGTTCGTATTTCCTTCCATTTCTTTCGTTTTATTGTAGTTTGTAAATCTGTTGCATGCGTTCACGTTTTTGTTGTCAATGTGTAAATGACTATGTGTGTGTGTTTATGTTTACTTCATTTGTCTTACTCAACCATTTCTGATACGCCCAGTTCTGTTTACTTGTATATTGATTACCTTCTAGCTTTCCTGCGAATAAATTATCATCATGAACAATTAGTTCATTTAATCCCAGTCTTTACGGGGATAGACGGTTATATACTTTGTGGCCCATTTACAGTGGAACATGATAAATACTCCAGTTTATTTAATTTATATGAATATATATATTAATACATCTATTTACTATTCAGTTTCAATGCATTTATGTATCTGTCACACCTTTTTATCGTTTCAGGTTGTATTTACAAGCCCAGTTGCATCATTACAAATGTTTTTAAGTTCATGTATGGACTTGTCAGTGGACATCTGTGCCCAGGGTTCACATTTTTTGGGATGCCATTACAAAGCAGTATATTGTTGCTTCGGCTCCCTCATTTAAGCAGCCATGGCCCATTCTGCAAACTTACCATCCCACACAGTCTTTTAATGTTTCACAGTGTGGAGGTAAACTAACTTATGTCAGGGGATTAAAAATTATTAAATTGTATATAACTCATCCTTTATCATTAACCATTAACTCATTTTAAACAGTTTGATTCGTTATGAAATAGATTTTCTAAAAATTCTTTTGACTTAGAATGTTTTATGTACTCACTTGCTCTGTATACAAATTGGATCTGAAAATCAATTAGGATATTTATTAGCAGCAATATATATTATAAAGTCACCCCAAAGGGCTCAGGTTGTAGTAAAACCAAATCTTTAGTTAAGTACTGCAATTGTTAGAGAAGTTCAAATTTGTATCTTGATTTTTTAAATTCAAGTTTACAAAGATAGCTACCTTTCTTTGCGTATTCTTGTTTTTATGTGCTGGAATATTGGTTGATTATTGACGTTAAGATAATGAATACCATAGTTTTGTTACTAAAATGATAATATAGTTTTTGGTTCGGTTAAACCGCATTGCTTAAGAATATTATGTTCTTATAACGAAGAATGATTGGGTATTTCAAGAAAGGAATGACAAAATTTCTAGAACATAAGCTTTTTATTAGGAGAAATATTAAAGTAATTATGAGGAACAAATAATATCTAGAACCGAGTTGCATAAACTGTGATTATATTATCAAGATCTTAATCTTGTAAACGTTGAATATTCTAGGTTATCAAAACTAGTTATGTATTAGATATATTTAAAAAAAAGAACCCTTGGAAATGTCGGTAAATTCAGAAAATGAATCGAATAATTAGAATATATAAGAAATAACATGAATCTCTAGAATTTTTTAATCCCTTCCACGTTTTTGAATCTAATCTTTCATTGTCATTTTAGTAGAAAATTTATTTAAAGGCATGATTAATTGTAAACCCACTTATTTATGTTGCAATTTAGTAAAAATCTCCCTTATTGTTGTTTTTAACGAGGCTGGGTCTAATTCGAGTGCGCATGACTTTGTGCAGCTTTTTAATTTCATGCAGTCATTTGTGCGACAATACACATTTGCCAAATATTTTGATTTTAATACAAAATTAACATTATCTGGTCTGGAAATTGGGATTTTACGACAATAATTAGGAAAAAACGCTGAAATGGCTCTATAGTCTGGTCCGATTTATAGTTAAAATAATAATGTTAGCATTATATTATCATTTTTAAAGTTGTATTACACTCAGTGAGATATTCACACATTACTTCTCCATTTTAAACAATATTTTTAAAATTAGAAAAATTGAATGTCCGCCATTTTGACCTTTTTAACGTCATTTTCATGACAGCCAGCATATTTTTTCGGATTCAGCATACTTGAAATAGTCAAAAACTATGCTGGGCCAAATAATAATTATTTGCCGTTAGAAGTTATTTTTAGCCTTCTTTTTAAAAATCGGGACCAGACTACTAACGACGTCACCATTTTCGGATTTTGTGAGCAATACATAACGCTGAAGAAAGACGCATGACTCACTTGTATGTTCGAGACGTCCATGGATATTATACTAAAAACTGATGACAGGACATCCAAAGAAACATACTAGCAATCTAAACTTTGCTATTTTTTTTTTACCGAAAAAATCATATGCGCCGATACTTCATCTGCACTGATATGTATTTATACCGTAATATGGCAATTTTAGAGGTATTGGGCTTTGACAAAAATTAATTTAGTAATTAATGCCTAGACCAACCTAGATGGTGAACTTTTTTGAAATTTCACAATTTGGTGACTTTTTACAATACCTTTCAATGATTTGAATGAAAAAGAAATCCCTAGGGCAGAAATACAAAAAAATCGCGAAAAAATGTGATAACTTGGCGCTTTTCTAGCAAATTCCCATAGGGTCCAATAATAAAATTTGTCAACTTTTGAGATGACCCACTTAGAAATCGGGATGGTAAACATTCGATTTTTTAATCTTAAAACAATAAATACGAGGGCCGTTCAAAATTTACGCGGACTTGTTGCTCAAAAGAAATATTTGACGACATAATCGGGCAAAATTTCACAAATAATATAAAAGAATCTTTACTTATATGGTCTTCAAAATTTCATATCAATATGTTGTAAATTGGTATTAATTTTGAGTGATTTTTAGGACATACCATTAGGTCACGGCGCAGCAAAATCTTCGACGTCACGAGCATTATAAAAAATATGTGATTGAGCTTTCATTTTCCTAACATTCTCCCTTGAGTACCTGTATAGTTTGAGTTACCTTATCTACTCAACATCAAAACACCATTTCTCGTCAAGCTTAAAATCTATTAAACAAGTAAAGAATATTCTTTTTTTGTTTTAAAACCAAAAACTACTTATAAGATATAGCGTGATATTGGTGACTCTCAATTACGTTCTTTACCGTCCGGATAAAGTTAACTTTTCGTCTATAATCTTCTTCCCGTCCTCCCGTACAGCCTTTTTACAGAGGTCTTACTGTCTAAAATTTCAATTCGCTATTTGTGGGCGAATGTCACGAGAAGCCTAGTTTACTACATGTTTTTATGCATATTTTGGATCTATGTTGCCGATATCTCAGGCATTACACATATTTTAACAAATGTGTGGTGCGCCGTCAATTCAGGAGACGTCATTTCACAGTCGTTTTCACGGAAATCGCATCAGAGAAAAATCACTATATTTCTGTTAGTACTTCAAATATTACGTCCGAAATCTAAACACATAATGATAGAACAATTCAAAGGTACATTTGAGAAAATTGTTGAAAAATATCGCGAATTTTAAAAAATCAATGAATTAAATTTTTGAATCTGCATGCTTTTGCTTCAATGGTTTTGTCGTGCGCCGTATCTCACCATCAACGATATAAACATACCGATA